TTGCTGTTGTTTCTGCTTGCACGCTGTTTGCTGTTGTGCTGTTGTTTCTGCTTGCACGCTGTTTGCTGTTGCTGCCGCTTGCACGCTGTTTGCTGTTGTTTCTGCTTGCACGCTGTTTGCTGTTGCTGCCGCTTGCACGCTGTTTGCTGTTGCTGCCGCTTGCATGCTGTTTGTTTGCTGTTGCTGCCGCTTGCACGCTGTTTGCTGTTGTGGGTGTCTCTCTCTGTTTCCCTCTGGCCACCCTTGATGCGTCTTCTTCCGGGCCCCCTGTGTCTGCTGCTTACCTGTTTCATCTCCTCGTTTTCTCCTCTAGCCCAGGCCCTGTCGTTGGGTGCTGAGGCTGTGTGGGTCCTGCCGGGGCCCTGGGCTTGGTGAGTGTTGGCCTTGCGGAATTCTCGTGCAGCCGTGGCGCGGGCGGCGGGCGGGGGGAGCGTGTCTGTGCCACGGGCTCCCTGACTCGGGAACGCCCTTCTGTCAGTTACATCCCCGCTGTGCACACCCAGACGCTCGCCTTCCTTGGAGGGAGCACTTGGCGTGGAGCCCGTGCGTGGTGGGCATCCGCTGTGAACGGGCACCTGCGGAGCCAGTGGCGTTGTGCGGTGTGCAGAGGCAGCTCTTAGGATTGGCCTGTGTCCGTTTTTCATTGTCTGGTCCGTTGGTGTGCTGGCAAAGGTTGCTTGTGTCCAGCCGTCTGGGTCCAGGGGTCACCAGGACTCGGCCGCCGGGGTCGGGAGGAGGCAGGCGGCCAGGGGGAGCTCCTAAAGCCCGTAAGGTCTCTGACTCAGCTGCCCACATGGCCGGCCCCGGGCCAAGGCGCAGCTCAGGCTTCTTGCTCCCGGCTCTGTTCCTGAGGCCAGATGCGACCCTGCTTCTCCTGATCTGCGGAGACACGCCCGCCCAGCACACGGCTAGGCTTTGTGACAGGCTGACTTTCAGAGAGGTTTATGGGTAGTCCTTGGGATTGTCCTGCGCCTGTTGTTGCCCTCGGTAACCCTCAGCCTCAGGCTCTGCCCACCCGGCTTCCGGCCAGGGAGGGGCCCGCCCGCCCAGCCAGGCCCGGCCGGTGGAGCTGCGCGGTGAGCGTTCATTCTTCCCTTTTCCTCAAAATTTCTCAGGTTTCTTTTCTTCCCTGTCCCTTGGCCTGCTTGGTTTTACTTGTGCTCTTTTGTGAAATGTTCCTCTGGTCTCCCTCCCTGCTCAGGCCCTCGTCCTCGGGACGGCAGGCCCTGCAGTGGCTCTCGGGCTGTTGGAGTTCTGCTCCCGAGCTGGTGTCCATTTGCCGTGGCACAGATCTCTGGCACCTGAGACTCCTGGGGTTGTGGAGGCTCCTGGGGTTGTGGAGGCTCCTCCTGGGGTCGTGGAGGCTCCTCCTGGGGTCGTGGAGGCTCCTGGGGTCGTGGAGGCTCCTGGGGTCGTGGAGGCTCCTGGGGTGGTGGAGGCTCCTGGGGTTGTGGAGGCTCCTGGGGTTGTGGAGGCTCCTCCTGGGGTGGTGGAGGCTCCTGGGGTGGTGGAGGCTCCTGGGGTCGTGGAGGCTCCTGGGGTCGTGGAGGCTTCTGGGGTCGTGGAGGCTCCTCCTGGGGTGGTGGAGGCTCCTGGGGTCGTGGAGGCTCCTGGGGTGGTGGAGGCTCCTCCTGGGGTCATGGAGGCTCCTCCTGGGGTCGTGGAGGCTCCTGGGGTCGTGGAGGCTCCTGGGGTGGTGGAGGCTCCTGGGGTCGTGGAGGCTCCTCCTGGGGTGGTGGAGGCTCCTGGGGTGGTGGAGGCTCCTCCAGGCCTCCCCCTGTTTTCTCTCTTGCTGCCCCCCAGGCTCAGGGCCATGTGGTGAGGATTGCAAGCGGGGTGAGCAGCTCTCTCTGCAGACCCTTGGGCTGAGGCAGGAGGGGTGGAGGAGGAAGGTGTGCTTGCTGGAGTCGGGGCTGCTCCTTGGAGCTGCGTGGCCATGGAGAACTGGCCGGGCAGTGCCTGTCCGAGGGCTGCCTGTGCACTGGATTCCACCCTCAGTTGGGACTCAGGCCGGCCCGGCCGCCTCCCAGTGGGCAGGGAGGAGGCTGATCACCGCGGGGCTGAGCGTGGGCTGAGCGTGGGGGTGCGCTCACCGCGGGGCTGAGCGTGGGGGTGTGCTCACAGCGGGGCTGAGCCGGGCTGCACTGTGATCGCACCTCGGTAGGAGTCCCTGGTGAGCAGGATGGAGGTCTGAGGTCAGACCCAGGCAGGAGTGTGATACTCCCCGTAAAACAAGTACAGAAAGAGGCTGAACACAGGGCTAAAGGCACAGAGCACCTGCCCAGGGACCAGAATGCTCTGGGCTCCAATTCCACGTTTTCCTGATAGGATAAGAATGATAGGCCGTGCGTCCTGCCCCTGCCGGTGACGGGCACGGTGTCGGGCCTGGCAGCCAGTCCTGGGCGAGAGGAAAGCACACAGCACCACGGCTGCTCGCTCAGGTCACCGACGTAGATCGGCGGCGCTGCTGTGTGGGGTGCGCCTGGGGCTTCCCTCCCGAGCCTCTCGGGACCTGGGTGCTGTCAACTTCAAGGCCATCTTTTCTTCAGGACCAGGGCCAGGCTGCCGAGGCTCCGTTGCGTGATGTAAAACCAGGGGGCCTCTCCATGCCAGGGCTTTCTTCATGGGGCCTCCGTGTCCCTCCTGTCCTGTCCCTGCCTGGCAAGGAGCAAGTGGGGTGCACTCCAGACCCCCCTCCCTCCCATGGTGCCCTGCGCTCTGTGACGGTGCCCTGCACTCCGTGCCCTGGGCTCTGTGCCCTGCACTCCGTGACAGTGCCCTGCGCTCCGTGCCCTGCGCTCTGTGCCCTGCGCTCCGTGCCCTGCGCTCCGTGATGGTGCTCTGCGCTCTGTGCCCTGCGCTCCACGCCCTGTACTCTGTGCCCTGCGCTCCGTGCCCTGCGCTCTGTGATGGTGCCCTGCGCTCTGTGCCCTGCGCTCCGTGCCCTGCGCTCTGTGCCCTGCGCTCCGTGCCCTGCGCTCTGTGCCCTGTGCTCCGTGCCCTGTGCTCTGTGCCCTGCGCTCCGTGCCCTGGGCTCTGTGCCCTGCGCTCCATGACGGTGCCCTGCGCTCCGTGCCCTGGGCTCCGTGCCCTGTGCTCCGTGCCCTGGGCTCTGTGCCCTGCTCTCCATGACGGTGCCCTGGGCTCTGTGCCCTGCGCTCCGTGCCCTGGGCTCCGTGCCCTGCGCTCCGTGCCCTGCGCTCCGTGCCCTGCGCTCCGTGCCCTGGGCTCTGTGCCCTGCGCTCCGTGACGGTGCCCTGCGCTCCGTGCCCTGTGCCCCGTGACGGTGCCTTGTGCTCCGTGCCCTGCGCTCCGTGACGGTGCCCTGCGCTCCGTGCCCTGCGCTCCGTGACGGTGCCCTGCGCCCCGTGACGGTGCCCTGCGCTCTGTGACGGTGCCCTGCGCTCCGTGACGGTGCCCTGCGCTCCGTGCCCTGTGCCCCGTGCCC